ACACTTTATTTGAAGAAATTGTGGGAAGTATAAGGCTTATAATATGTCTTGATACATGATCTACGCATTGTTATGGGTTGTCAATTCCGAAGAACCCTGTTAAATTGAGATTGAGATTTTAAACAATCATTCCTACTGAACGCAAAATTTCTAAGGACGGCATGTGATGATTATGCTGATAATAATTTACCGAACAATGATAGAAACTATTCTAAAAAAATAGATTTAGCTGTAAATGGCGATTTAATTTGAAACTGCTGAAAAAAAAACTTAAATGCGGGATATGTATAAAATGTCCTACAAAATTAACTAGAAAGAGAATTTTTCCATGTAACCCAGGTAAAGTCATAAATTTACAAGAAAAATAGTTCCTTACTATTTATGTTGTTTTGATTTTAAAATTTTTTCGAAGGCTTTCCAAGCTTGAACAAAATACTAGTGTAGTGAAGAAAGTGAATGTTTTGTTTGTGCGCCAAGCTACGCACCTAGCGCGTCCCAAACTGCCGACTAAAAATAACTACCGTTCATGAATACCCCTAGAAATGCTAGTCATGAGTAATATAAGAGGTACGCAATGTGCTTCACATCTCCAGTTGTCATTGTGCATTAACATTCAGCACAAAAGAGCGCGATTGATTAGGTACCTTCAAATGGAAAAGGAATAATCTTCTCGAGACTGCAAAGATCAAACTAATAATCTCTAGGAAAAGAAGAGACAACTATGTACAATAGATCATATCCTCAACTTAGCAAGACAGGTGAGCTGAACACGTGCTTCACGTTCAGGACATGAGTTATGCTAATAAGCAATAAACTATATTGCAGAAAGCACAAATAATAATCCAGATTATTCCTTACCCCGTACTGTTTAGCTAGTTGCGCCATAGCTTCTTTCAGTTCCTGGCTTCTCATGCTTCCATACCTCTTCACTCTGTCAAAAGTCGACGAAGCTGCGCCACGAGACTACAAACACAACACGAAGCGTTAAAAAGCAAAACACCCTGCTCTTTACTTAACCAACTGCATGCACAATTGTCAGAACAATATCATAGCAGTTCTACTTGCAGTCAGATCAGCTGAAAACAACAACTGTACTGAACAACCAAAGTACTAAACAAATCTTTCGAAAGCTGTATGAGAATAGTTTCTTAAACGGTTAAGACTTGCTTCAAACGAGATAATAAGAGATACGCAAACAATGTGAGCTTATTTGAAACAATGCTTATAGTTCTACCATTGTATTCAATTAATAGATGCATCGATCTTGTCCGACAATATTAGACAAAAAATAAGTTTAAAATGTCCTTCTTTCTCCATATTATGTATCATCTAAAGTCTACCTATCATATCTTTATCATCTAAAGTGCACAAAAAGATGATACTTATGGTAGTACAAATACTACAGTAAACACAACGCGTACACGATAAACATCCTGTGTAAGTATAAAATCATATAGACCCTGGTTAAAGAAAAAAATAGCAAAAGTCACTACCTTTAAACGATCGTTTATCATTTGTGTTGGTCGACCCATTCCCGGTATAACTGGGGCATCGTCTAAAACATTTTACTGTTATGGATACATTTTGGATATCCGCAATCGCCAAAAAGAAAGTTTCAAAACCACTCAGACACAACAAAATGCATGCTAACAATGTTTCCGCTGCAGAACAGGTGATGGATCGCGTTTGTTGAATGTGTGGATGGTGATCGATGGTCGTACTAGCTCTAAAAGTTGAGAGACAATCACAAAACACAAAATCCTGGCCACTCTGTTCATTTTGCGGAAAAATTCCGAGAATTTGCCAACATCGATAGTTCACTTCCAAGTTTTTGAATTTGTTGAGAAAAATTAACAACCTTGAATTCTTATTCTCGGAAGACGAAGAATTTCAGAAAAAAAAATAATCTAAGGCGATTCATAAGCAGCATTGTAGAATGAGTAGCGAATTGTTAATAACAATATCATTGTGCAAAAGATAAATTAATCATATTAGGTTCTTTTGCAAATAAGAGAAGAAAAATCTAATAAGCATCATGGATAGTAATCTTAGCAGTGCGGATGAACACTGCTCCACACTTATCCTCGGAAATTAAGCCAATTTGAGGATAAAACAGTAGAAACGGGCCACCTATCAATAATGGCTGATTCGTATTAGTCTGGAAGGAGGTCATATAAGCGATCGATGTGAACAAATTCTTACACTCTTGGTTTCACAACAAAAAACAACTTAGTACAAAAACAAGTTTAGACTGAAATATTAAATTCAGGCTGTGAAATCTCTAACCAATTCTCCGTAGATCTGAACTCGAGCCATTGAGAGGCGAACGCGATCTGGAGTTTCGCAGCCAACTTGTCTCGGATGTTGACGCTTCGACTAACGAATACTATCTTGAGATTACAACCACAACAATACACACTGCACAGATTATATAGCGTTGATCAAGCAACCATGCGAGAGGTAAAGCGTAGAAATACCTACCAGGGCCAACAACATAGGTAGCTCCATCAGTTACAGCGTCTTCGATAAGACGGCGAGCTTCTTCGCGGCGCTTGTTGTCATCATCTGATCGCTGGAAAAAACAATGCCTTCATACAAACAGTTGTGGGAAACAAGCAAAACGCACAGTTTTCATGGCCGAAACAGCGGCTGAAGGGTTTTCAAGCATTTGACGAGCCTTTCTTCGCAACTCCTCTTTCTTGGATGGACTGGTTGCTCGACCCTGCACGATATAGCAGATAAAGAGTAATAATAAAAGTATTTTTGATACAGATACATGTTAGCTAGCCTCCTACGTTGAAAACAGTATTTTTCCTCGCTTTTGTTGTAACACAAAAAAATGACTGGCATCGCAGTGTTGCTATTAGTGACTTTCTAAGCCCTTTAAGAATATAATCTTTATGATATAATGATTCTGAGCTTCTGAAAAAACTAACACTTTTAGTTCATCCTTTTCACACAGGAAAAACAAATGAAAGAGGACCAATGATTTACTAAACTCACCGAAGGGAATGTTGGAAGCGGAGTGACCATAGTAACGGAGACGTCATGGTCTCTGAAGGATCTGAAGTAAGCCAGAGGTACTTGCTATCCATGAATTTATTTATATTTAAAATTTTGGGCGTTCCTAACGGCGCTATTCGATATGCTGACCACGAATAACATATCTGTTTACGATCATTATTGCGGTCATACTAAGGAATAATCTAGATACAATCGATCCTCGTATGATAGCAAAACCATCGCTGCGACGCCCAACGCCTCTAAATTATGTGTGCGGAAGGTTGGAAACCACTTTTTTTTTTTTGCAAAACGTAACCAAAATGCTACACTACCTCATTCAAGAAGTTTGCTTTAGCGCAGGTGATTTCGATTATTAACGCTAACTATAACAGCTTATAACTGTTCAATTTCGCATGAAAAACTGATCTGTGTGGAGCCTTCCCTTCCCACTGAATCCACAAGATGTTGAGGATCTTAGATATCACCACACGTGTGGAAGTTCATACAGAACAGAAATATTGATTACACGCATGCTCAACTTGCAAGGATATCCAATTTTTGCGTAGCCTGCATATATCCGGAAGAAGATTACGGGATCAGTCAAATAATCCCGCCATACCACTGCGGTTTTTTGAGATTGACCACCTACCGTCTACCGTAACCCTAGAGTAAACCATATCGCACAGAATCAATCAAAATTTTTAATCATTAGTATGATAAATAACACAATGGACAAAGTTCCTTTTGTAGCTTGGCATTCGGGAAATTGAAGGGTGTTCTTAATTTCGATTGCACATCACAACATGCATCAGAGACTACATTCCTTTGGAAAATTGATGTCATTTTGCTAAGTTCAATCGAAACAGCATATTAACAATAATGATATTGTGATCCCTATAACTTTGTCCAACCTGTGTTTTATACATCGCTTGTAAAACTACTCTGCTCCCACCTTTTGCACATATACACTATGACACAGGACAATAGCATAGGCTTTTTATGGAAAAAGCTGGGAACATCTGAGAATCCAAAAGGATATTAGTTACTAACAAGTCACTGCTTTCTAAATTCGTCGATTAACCTTTTGCAATCTAGTGTGCATGGCGTAATACGGTTCCCAACTTTATGAATAGAAAGAAATTCTGAGATTGCACCAAGTCAAAATAAGAATTTCTGAGAGAAACTATTCTTCTCAAATTTCTGGAGCAACCATGCACAGGGTAGCCAGCTAAAGCCTAATAGTCAAGGTGTCCACTTTAAAACATATAGTTGACGACAACCCATTTCTCTTTCTGGTCACACAAAACCCAATTTGAGCAGCAAAGGATTTTCATCCCATCACTGCGAACGGAATGAGTTTGTCTTACTCAGCTTTTCTCGTACAAACATTGTGGACCTCCCATCTGCTGTTTCGATTAGTCATGCTCA